CGATTGTCCCGTAACATTTAGGAGACATTTGAAACTGAGATTTTCACCAGACACAGAGCTCTATTTGAGACTCGAGCATTCTAGGCTAATCAGAATGTAAAAAAATCTTGCAGACGACAGATTCTTTTTGAAATAACTAATGATTTGGATTATTTTTGAAATAACTAAATAAATTCTCTTTGCAGCGTTAAGAAAATCGAAACATGTATTGCCATAAGGTATAGAACTCCATATCCAGCATTAAAGTATAGATCTCCAGCACAATTAAATGCACAAACTAATTGGAAAGTGGACGAAACTTTGATTGCAAGATTCACACACACGAACGAGAGTTAATAAAAACGTATAAGAGACATGCTAAAATTTTTGAAGATACCACTCACGCAGTGTAGGGTTCTTTTAACGAAGATCGAATTTGTAACGATGAAAACTCTACTATCGCTTGACAAAAACCTAATTATTAAGTAGGTCAAACTGGGTATAGTCCTTCACAACGTTTTCTAAACATATTGTTAATTTTAAGCTTCATTCTCCTCTATAATAACAATTTCTTAAGGGCTTAAAACTTCCGGGCATCCTACACAGCAAAACAATTTGCAGCTGAAATGTTTGGAACAAAAAGTTCAAATAGCATGTTTTGTTGTGACCACTCCCCGCCGATGTCCCTCGGCCATTGTGACCTTCTTATCTGTAACTTAATATCCATAAAACCTATTCGATGCGTGGTAGTAGATTTTTTTTTTACACTTCCGTCATTTACGAGGCTTGATGAGATTTTTGTGAATCGTTGAATGGTTGTGTTGTTTGAAGTGTTTGTCGTTTAAAGAACATATAGAATATGAATGAAGATAACATTTGTGGAATTGTTTTGATGGGCAGTAGGTATAAGTAGGCTTTGAGCTTTATTGAAAAAAGCATGGAATGTAATGAGTACCTTAAAGAGCTATTTGAAATTAGGTTGGCATAAATAGGTTGGTTTGCTTATCATTTCATTCAGAATAGTATTTACGCTAAACATTGGAATAATTTATGTGTCATTGAAGCTTTGGGTAACGAGTCGTCTTACGTACACACAATTGTGCAATTTCAATTTAAAAATCTATTAGGTTAGGCATGAGAAAGTAAGATGGAACTCTGTTGGTTTAACCGCTTCTTTCCAATCATATCAGTGCCATAACTATGACGGTTTAAATTTTAGCAGTAAGAAAATTAATAGAAAAAAAACAAGAATCAAACTACGATGAAATATTTCGTGTATTTTTTTCCTTTAAGTTTTAATTTAAAAAATTAGAGAAAAAACAAAATGACAAAGCGTTAATGGGCCCAAAACGTCCTGATTCGAAGTGCAACCGCGTTCTTAAATTAAATTACAGGATAATACGAACTTATCAAGTTAATCGCCAAATCATTAAATTATGATAAAACAACTATTTATGAGCCTATTTGAATGATATTTTCTACAATAGCTATTATGAAATCTAAAAAATTAACATTAATTTTAGATAAATAAATCTACTGGTTCAAAAGAACACGAACAATACGTTCAAAATAGCAAAGCGTCCCTGGCTCATAAGATATTTCCATGAAGTTGTTCCATCAAGTAGGTTCAATTCATCGGATTTCTCAATCCTTTTGACGTGCCCTAACTTCTCAAGAAATTTGTCCTAACATTTCCAGGAAATTTTTCGCAACAAGATGGGACATCCTGTATAAGTTGTAGAAAATTAATGATAAAAGCAGGGGTTGCAGCCAAAAAATTTGTTTGACTCCGACTTCAGTTATTTACAATTAATTGAAAAGTTACCCCCTATAGTCTTTGATAATTTAGACTGCATATATTATTATATAAACAAATTTATTACCTGAATAAGTATTGTGACAATAATTTAAGTATAACTTTTCAATTTTCATTTAAAAATATTTTTGAGTGCTCCTCACACTATTGCATTGATATATTTTGTTTTGGCTATATTAATGCAATATTCGAAAGCACTCCTTTTTGCGGTTATAATCGTGTGAGCTGATGGCGAGATTATATCTTTTCATAATCTTGTTTTCCGACTTCTTAATTTTTAGTTTTTTTTAAATAAAATTCTTAATTAAAATTCTTAAATATTTTTTAAAACATTTTATTTTTATAGCGTTTCTTCTTTTGTTTTCATAAACTTTTTTTCCATGCTTTCTCCATATTTTTAACTTCTCTCTCTCTCTCTCT